ACATCGTTAAAATAACCGGGCCTGACTGGTGCTGCAGACTGTGGCAAAGGTTGGGTTTGAGTCTCCTGTTCCTTTTCTGCTGGAACACTGATAGCCTGCTTCAAAATCTTGCTCTAGGCCATGTGGCTGTGTTTTAAGGATGGTGTTGGAATTGCATATATTCTTTCTGTGATTAGGACAGAATAAATACTTTCTGATTTCTTAGTTCTGTGGAGCTTGGCATCTGTATACAAAGACTAAATTAAAAAAAAGAGAAGCACTTAGTAATGCTGTTCTGCAAACTTATGGTATCCTGAAACTGGGTTTCATAGTTACGTTTTTTATGTTGGAAAGTCAAAATGCAGTTGTGTGATTTCTGTTGTTAATGCTAGAAATTTTTTTTTCTATTTCTTTATCATTATTGAGCAGTTTTTTTTTTTTTTTTTTATCCTTCAAACATAAAATATAGTAAATCTTAGAGTTCAGATCATTAACAATGTTTATTCTTGGAGTGACTAGTGTATTACTTCAGGAGGATTTGCATTTGATTTGAGGGGTGCTCTCGTTCCAACTCTCCTCTGTATTATAATGCACATAAAATGTCTAAACCCCACATTGCTTTCTTCTACCCTCATTGCTATTCACATGAGAACAGTCTTAGAGATGTAGAAGCCTGTCTCTTGTGGTCTTTCTACCTGTGCTAAGTATAACTTCCTAGCAATCTTTTAAATGAGTTAAATAGGGTTTTTCATGTGTACGAACACTTCCTGTCTATTTCAAAGTGGTAAAGGCCAAAATGTTATAGTGAGAGTTTCTGGGGTAAGTGTATAAAAGATAGGTTAGGGGACTGTTTTGGTGCTTGGGCATTCGAAGATTTTGGAGGGCACGTTTGTTTTTGGTGACGTCTTTTGCTGTGGTAGCTGTGATGTGTTAATCCTGCTGTTCTTTCCCTGTGTTTCTAAGGAATGAGGGTGTGGGGTTGCCTCCAAAAGCCTTCTGACGCTGCCAGGCCTGCATAAAGCGTAGTCAAATTTTGGGTTTCAAGTGGTGTGCAGAAGCAAGGAAAGGAGTTGCTTTTCTTAAAAATAAGTCAAGAGTTTTTCTGTTTTCAGCTTTCCCACAAGTGGTAATGGGACACCAGGCAGTGCTGGATCAGTCTTCAGGTGTGGAAAGAAAATTTTCTTTCCTGCATGCTTCACTTCTCTTATTCAAGAGACTTTGCATGACCACATTCTTAGTACCAAAGTAATCATGTTTGGGGCCAGAAATATTTTCTCTGGAAGTCAGGCTGGCAGGTATTTAATCTCCTGCTCCATCCTCCTGCTTGTGGGGCATAGATGTCACACAAGGTGTAGTTTATCAAATAAATTTCTCACTTTTATATGTTATTAAAGAGTAATGTATTTGTCTTGTCTGACTGCAGCTGCAAAATTTTGGTTGTCTGAGAACTGCAGTGTTGTGATCTACCTGCACTTTATCCAGATGCACCTACTTTTACTCTCATAATATCCAGTGATACACAGATTATATAGTTTAACAGTGCAACTTGAAATTTTTCTGACTATTTCTTAACATTTTAACATAACTGATCTTTTTAGGAGTTCAATATGTTTCTTTCAGCTTTCTTACTGAAACTTTCTCTCTGTTACCTCTTTTTTATCTGCTCTTTATGTTTTTAATGATGACACATCTAGGATTCTTTCAGATTAATCCTTTGTGCCCCTGTTGATCGTTTTCTTTCCTCTAACTGCGATTCATTTGTTTCTTCTTCTGCAGTGTTATCTGCATTTTCTGCAGACTACTGGACTCAAGGGAAGCCAAGAGCTAGAACTCGAGGATGCAAATAAAGGAAAATTAGAAAGTTCTAAAAATTGTGGACATTCTTAGACCATTTGCTTGTGGCAGTGCATGATTTGTTTTAAATTCCCTTTTACTCCTAGTTGTTGAGTGTTGGGCATCTAGAAAAGTGTTCCCTATGGGAGATTGGGAAAGACAGGATTTATTAGCTGTCTGTATTAGAAGATGAGAAGGTAAAAAAGCAAAGCTGGACTCCCTATCCTGTTTCCAGAGCTCTGATAGCTTGAGTTCTGCTGGTTTTGAGAGAGAAAAAAATGAATTCAAATAGCAGGAAGGACTGCAAAAGCTGTTATGGGCAAACAGCTCAGCTGCTGGTATGGACTGTGGATAATAATACTCAAGTCTGTTTACTGCTTACATAGGCCAAATGAACACTGCCTCTGCAGGCTGTATTACTGCTTAAGGTTTCTCTTTGGTGCATAAAACATCATAGTGTAAGAAAACTGAAATTGTGGTGAAAGGAAAACATTCAGTTTCAGTTTTTGAAATGTGGGTTTTCTTTATTACCTTCCAGGTGTCTTGGAATTCTTGCAAATTAAGTTGCAAGGAGGATTATTCTCTACCCTGATGCAAATGCGTAATTCTTAATGGGGTGGGAATTCTTCTTGATCAATAAATAGATAAATCTTTAACATTATGTAAGTCTTTCAAACCTGGACATTCTTTACCTGCAGAGAGCAAATCTGCTTGAGAAAGTGCCATTAATTGTTTCTTTAGTGTCATTGGCAAGCATAGGAGATTTTAAGAGTGACTCTATTTTGTGGAAAGCCGGAGTAGGAAATCGCAGCAGATCTGTGTTCCTAAGCTGTTGTTAGTCAGGGCAGGTGTTGGAGCATTCTTTGCCCTGAGGTGGGTAAGGCTGCATTGCTGTGGTCTGCCTGGAGAAGTCATGAATAAAGTGAAACCTGTTTCTGAATCCAGTGGCATTCAGTGGAGTCTTCTCTCCCTGGTTCCAGACGTTCTTTTGGGCAGTCGTCTTCTTGTAAAGGGTAATAGCCAGGAGAAGCACCATGGTTTCAGAAATAAAGTAGAGAGAGACACAGCACTGGAAGTGGATTTTGCTTTTCTCTGTGCTGAAATCACGGTCTTAGAGTAATGTGAGAAGTGTGTTGCTTCTGTTCCCTGGATTATGGCGAATTGGCTGGGTTAGGAGGTGACATGAGGCAGCACAGGCAGTGGGAGATAAGGGGTGTTTTGTTTTGGTGGGTGTGCATCAAGCTCTATTGCTCTCACACATATATCTCTTTGAGTTACTGTGAGCAATTTTCTTTTGAATGGTTTGTGTGTTGTTGTTTCTGGTTCTTTGCTATTTTTCACTTGGGAGTAGGATAGTAAAGAGAAGGAGGCAAGGGAAACCAGAAATTTACATTAATCTAAAACCTGTTGAAGACATTACAGAAATAAAATTTTTACTTTGATTTGACATTAATATATAAGATACCAGTATTTTTGTGTTGCACTTCTGACACTTTGGTCTGAGGAAGCAAGGCTTCATGTTTCAGGTACAAAGGCTGTGTTCTTAAAAAAAAAACCCCATATTATTTTGCTCCAGTGTTGTGACCTTTGTCCAACATGCTAGAAATAGCTGAGGAGATAGCAACTAGTTATCCAGCATTTAGACTATGTTAAGACTTTCCTTCAACAGATAGATTATCTGGATTGCATTATTGCCTAATCCATTATGCTCTAAGCAGTCTTGACGCTTGATTAAGTCACATTTAAGTCTGTTTTCAGAAGTCTGTTCATGCATGTATTTCTTGTTAATCCTTAGTTCAAGCTTCATTTTGGAAACAAATTTTGGCAGAACTTTTCTTTAGTTAGTTTTACCAGAATACCTAGCCCCTCTATGATTCGATGGCTTGATGGTATCTACTTGTTATTTAATATGAGTGGACAGTGTTTCAGAAGAATAGCTCTCTCTTACAACCAAGACATTGAGAGGGGTTGGCAATACCAATTGGGCAAGACATGTCTTTGTTCTCGTCAGCACCAGCAGTATGAAGCTTGCTCTGTTTGGAACTTCTCTAAGGATTGACTGAAAACTCATGCCAGTTTAGAGACTGGGAGATCAGTGCAGATAAAGGTAATAATGCTATTAAAATGAAAAAACAATAGAATCTGTCTCATGGTGGACCCAAATTACACTTTCATGGAGTCATAGGAGCACAAAGGTTGGAGGGACCTTGAGGAGTCCCTGTGGTCAAAGCCAGGCCAGTTATATGAGGTTGCTTGGGGACTTTTCTCATTAAGTTTAACAGATCTCCTTTAAAAAGATTAAAGTGATGGAGAGTCCACAGTCACTCTGGGCAACCTGCTCCAGTGTTAAGCCATCCTCAAATGAAAATTTTTCTTCTTTAGGTCTAATCCAAGTTTTCCATATTTGAACTTTTGTCTGTTACCTCTGGTCTTACCCCTGGGTACCTCTCAGAGGAGCCTGATTTGCTACACCTCCACATTAGCTATTTGTGGAATTTTTGTAGAAGAAAAGGGTTTGAAGACCTCCAGTGTTTGAGTCATTGAATAGGTATTTTTTATAATACAGGGGACATACATTAAACTGACCAAAAAGAATGTTTATTTTTTAGATTGATCCAGTTTTCTGCTACAGGCAGTTTTCTAGATAATACATCATTTTGGCAAAATTTGTCAGGAATGTGTTCTCAGCAAATGGTGAATATTTTTTGGAGGACTTGCAGTAGCTTAATTGGAGTAGAAAACATTTAAAGACGCATCATTACTTCATAGACACTGTGTAAGGCCTGTATTTGGATTACTTTAGTAGTATTCTGACCATAATTATTTGATAGTCCAATTGTCTTGAAGATAAAACTCAGTGTAAATTTAACACATCTTAGAAGTTTTGATATCTGGCAGACTGTTTCTGACAATTATGGCTAAAAGTAACAAGGTAATAAAATTCTTCTTATACTTCCTATTTAGAATTGCTTGATGTATTTCCTGGTATAAACGTTGTAACGGCTGGAACAAGTTCAAAGGAAATCTTTGTGGTATTTTTCATAAACCCAGCAAACTTAAGAGGTTTTGTTTTACTACTTAAGTGGGCATGTCTCATTTTCCTTTTTTATTTTTCTTTACAGTGTGCAAAAAAGAGCCTAACTGAATTAAAGTTTGTCCTCCCTTTTTTTTCTTCCCTGCTCCCTCAGATCGCAGCTATTCTCAGGAAACGAAAACTTGACTATTATTTGTACAAACTGCTACCTGAGATCTTGCAGTCAACTTCCTTTCTGACAGCAAATGGGACCTTGTATATTGCTTGCTTTTGCATTCTAAGGTTGGTATACTGTCCTAAAAATGAAACATAACAGTAAAGCTATTTTTGTGTAACTTTATTTAAATAATAATTTGTCTCTTTTTGTAATAGGCTTGTTTGTAATGTTTTGGAGTAAAAAAAGCTACAGCTGTGCCATCATCTTGATTTCTGCTCTTACTACTCAAATATGAAACTTTGCTTTTTAAAAAAAATATTTTCTTCTCATTTTTGTAATCTTTTAAATCAGTAAACAAGTCAATGTATCGACTTTGCTTCTTTTTCTCTGTTTTACTGATTCAGAATACATTGTTCCAGGAAATTCAAATATATTCTAAAGGGGACCTAAGAAAGCCCAACCTTTCCTTCCTAGAAATAATTGATGTAATTTGATATTGATTTCTATTTTCCTGATGCAGGGGCTGTGATAACTTTTAATTATCCTAAACTTTATGCAGCCATGCAAGTTTGTACTTGCCTTATTTTGGTCATAAACGAAGGAAATCCCAGCACAACTTCTGGGCTTCTGTAAGATATAGACTTACTCTGAAAAATTAATATAAAAGGCACTTCTGTGTTCTGAGCTGTTTCCAGTGTATATTTCAAGTAACTTCAGGATAGTTAAAAATGAGGCTTTCCTGTTTATGAACATGATAATGTCCTATATCTAAAGGCTCTTACATTTATTGTAAGAGATGTTACACATAGGCATGTAAAGCCTACAGTAGCTATGAATTTTTGAAAGTTAACTGGCAGCACACTCAACAGCCCCACTAAAAGATAATCAAACCCATTATGCCCTAATTCTGAATCTGTTTAGAGGCCTCTAAACTTTGCTTCAAAGATGAAGGAGAAGACGTAAGAAGAGGAGGAGCTGGCTGAGGAGCCATGGAATGCTTTTTAAGTAAATAATTTGCAAAGTTCAAAGTGAATATGAAAATAATGAGCTCTAAAGAATATGATGTTTTCTAGCAATCTAGGTTGTATTAATACTGATTTACGTTTACTCTTTTACTGCTTTTCCTTATGCTGCCATGTATTTGCCTGTAAGTCTGCAGTGCCTTACTTCAGTGCTGTAATTAAAAGTTACTCTCTAATTAAGCTAGTATGGTTTTAAGTTACATGGTATTCAGCTATTCCCCTTAGAGAGGATATTAGCCATCTAGCAGGTCTATGACTGTGTCTGTGCTAGTAGGTAAGAGATGAGTGTCTTCCAAATGGAGCCAGCTGGTATGGCATCACTTTCACCTGTATGGAATATAGGTGTCTAAAGCTGTTCTGACCTCCAGAACAACATGGCCAGGTGCAGACTGGGTAATGGAAATGCTACCAAGTCCAAGTGCCCTCCAAGTTCCCTTGAAGCATTGTTTGGGTTGACCTAGGCCAGAGCCATGCAAAGGACAATTCTAACAATTCAACGTGACAAGGGATGGCTGCAAATGTTTACCCTGCCATTCTTACAGCTGTGGAGCGCAGTAACCCACCAACATCTCCAGAGCTGTACATGCTCTTTCTGTTGCAAAGAGATTCCCGCGAAGAGTTGTCAGCCGCAGCAGAATCCTTGCTGGCAGGATCTCTGCACAGCGCCCACCACCTACAATTGCAGGACGTGCAACCAAAAAGTTGTTGGCTAGGGAGCTGATTGAAACTGGTGAACTGGAATCACTATTAGAAGCAAAAGACCAAAGTGTTTAGGCAGCCATAGGAATTGTGCCTGTTTTGAAGTACATGAATGTCCAGTTATAATGAGTATTTTGCAGCTTTTCTGACCATAATAAAATTCAGAGCCTCAGCAAGTAAGTGACTAGGATATGTAAGAGCTATAAAATGATATTGCAAAAACCTGATTATCAGAAAATTCATACTTTCCAAATTTATTGGTATGTTTTGAAGAATAAATTTGTACCTGGTGATGATTCACCTGGTGCATTTTACATGAATTTCCTGGTGACTTTGACAAGATTTTTTGCTAGGATTGTTCAAGAAGAAGGGTTCTCTGTTTTCCAGGAATTAGTAAATGATTAGCAAATAGTTAATATACATGAAGCAAAGCAAGGGATAAATAATTGATTTTTGTAATAGGAAGAGGTTGCCAGTGAAGTTCCTGTTATGTCCTTTGTTTTAGATATACCTAAAGAATCTGGAAAAGGGGATGAAGACCAATATGAGAAATTGTATGAGATTATTTAGGTTACAGAAATCTGAAACTGACTCTCATCCATTTCAGAAATATGTGTTGATTAAAGTCACTTGTGAAATTTGATATAGAAAAGTACAAGGTAATGCTGTGGGAGGAGGAAAAGCAGCTCTGTCCTCACTCAAGGATCAGCTTTTAACTAGCTGCTATTAATCAGGTGTTTGAGGGTCATCATGTGTGGCTAATTTGAAGAAGTCACTTCAGTACTCAAGGAGTGAGTAAGTGTTATTTGGAAAGAAAATGAGAACATGCCAGGAAGCTGAATGAATACATGACACCTTTACAAATTGAGTAGTGTATGCCTTTTTCTTTTTAAGAGTTTATCCTAAGATCATAATGTTGATCAGTCATTCACTTGGAATTACTTAACATTGTCATGCAGCTTAAGCCACATAAGCCTGCTTTTCTTTTTTTTTTAACCAATTTATGGTGTTTTAAAAAATATTTATAAATTTGTAATGTTATGTTTGAAGTTGTATTATTCCTTGATTTTATTGCTGTGTGATACAGTGTATTTCCTTCAGTAGCCCCTGAGAACAAAAGTAATTGTAAGTGATTTTGCAGGCCAGAATGCAATTTGGTATTGTACATTTTAATCCATCAAAGAAATGTCAGTACCTCTCTTTCTGCATAACTGCCCTGAATATTTCTGGACTTGATTTGCAATTATGGAAAGAGATCGTCTGAGACTGTGGAGACCTAGATGCTCTAGATCTGGTCCTACATAGTGATGAGAGCTTGGCTTTGACAGATTTCTGTAATACAATACATGCTGCAGTTTTTGTATCTTTTTTTTGGTTGAAAGATGTATTACAGCAGGAGCAGCAGTAACTCAGAAACAAAGTTGTCCAGCAAGGCCCCTGCAGTTGACTGCTCTTACTCTCTTGGAGTTCTAGACCAAAGCAATAGAGGTTTCTAGCTGCTCGTGTTAACTCGTATTTACCTGCACAATTCCTGATTTGAGGAGAGCTGCCTGTTTCTTCTTTTGTAGCACCAAGGAGAAGGTGCATTGGTAGGCGTATAGGGTGTCCTGGATCAAGTGACTCCTTGATCTGTTCTTACCTTTACCAAAGTCCCAGTGAATCTACAGTCCCTGTGTGTACTAGTCATCCAGTAACAATTAAAAGATCTAAGTATGAAATGCAATTGGGATTGAGATGTCTGGTTTGTGCTAATATATCTTATTGATACTCTTGCAGTATTTGCTTCTTTTCAACAAGAGAAAACCACCAAAACTTGAAAGCACTGCAAATATTCTCAAGGATGTACAATTTCAGGCAAGAAAGTGCAATTTAAATAATTTCAGGGATTGTTTAATATTCTCAGGATTTCACAGGTGGGCAGAATTTCAAAAACATCTAAATACAGTATCAGCACTGATTTAGGCTGTGAATAGATGTTCTTGTTCCATAAGGGATTGCCAAGCTAATGTGCCTGACTGATTTTAACTCCTGTTTTTTTTCTGAAGCGAACTAAGGCCTATGAACAGCCTGTTCTTTGGCAGAGCAGTGAGGGTGATGTTCTCTGTTACGGATGTGTGACAGGCCAGCTGGGGCTTGTAATCTCTTCTGCTGGTGAGATCCAGAAGACTACATCTGTCTGGGCTTCAGGCGGAAGTGCTAGACTCAGTGTTGACAAGCATTACATCTGTTAAATGAAAGGTGTGATTTTTAGGTTTTTTGTTTTAATAAATGCAAAACCTCATGAAGACATGGATCTCTTAGTCTAGCAACTACAGTAATTATGTTTGTCCATGTACAGCTTGTTCATTGAGGAATTAGGTGAAAAAACTTATAGTTCTTATTCCAGTTTCAATTCCATACACCATGTGAAAATAACTACGCAAATAATAACAAAAATTCATTTTCATTTACTTTGGGAGTTGTTTAGATGTTTCACTTACTGATTGGACATTTTGATTTCCAGTAGGCTTTATTACGTAAAATACGCTACTATTTCCGAAATCAACTCAAACATGTAAGCATTTGTAAAGGGATTCTAAGCTATGCCAAAAGAACAAATTCCTGTTTCTTTCCCACAGAAAAGACATTTGTTCTGTTACTTAACAGGTGTGTCTGGTAAGATGTGTTCATACTTATTAAGATGTTTAAAATGACTTCTCTGAAACTTCATACAGTAATTACTTTCCGAGAGAGTCCTAATAATGAACTTTAGCTCCTGCAGCATTTGGCATTGTCATCCTGAGAAATTATCCTTTTGCAGCCGTGGGAATGAACAGTGTGTGTAATTGCCATTACATCACTTGCTGCTGATACACTGGCTCTCTTTTCACTTACGAACATAAGCTGGCATTGCTCGCTGGTAATGTTATTTTTGCTGGAGAAGTATGAAATGAGGCTGCTCATGCCATTTACAGCAAGAATGAAAGTGAACTAATCAGATGGTGTTGATTAATTATCTTTGTTCTCTCTTCTGTGTTGTCAACATGAAATTTTATCTAAAAAAAAGGTCCTTTTCTGCCCTGTTTGTGTTCGCTATTTTGTTTTTAGAAGGGTTGACTCTGCTGTAACACTTTTTTTCCCGCCAGTAGTGGTTATCAGCTGAACAGCATTGATATATTGAAGTATATTTATTATCATGTTACCAAATGTCATGACTATCTGACTGTTGTTTGCTTCTGTGATCAGCCTGAATATTAGATTTAAGGTGCAGGTCTCCTGAGCAGACCAAATGAGGTTGGTGACATTGTGTCAGACATGCAGTTTGATTTTCCTCCTTTAACAGTGACCAATATATAGAAAAATTCTCTTTATTTATAGAAACATACTGTCATTTGTGTAACTATTTTTTTTTTCAACTGTTATTATTGAAGGAATTTCAGTAGTTGAAATTGTGGGGACTCTGAATGAAATCCAGATCTAGCTGCAAAAAATGAGAGCTTTGCCAGCTTAATAGGACTGGGAAGTCATTATTGCTTCCACATGTAATGTACGGTTGATTCGCTGACTTACTGTAAATACGTGTTTTCCTGTTTATAGCATCAGTGGCTTACCTCTTTGGAGTGTAATGTATTTTATAATTATTTGATTTGATTTCTGCCATGCCTGATTGCATTGCTGCATTCCACAAAGCACATCTTCCCGAAGATGTATTTGGACCAGCAGCAGAGAGATAAGCAGATATAAGTTCTTATAGAAGATTTTTCTGTATTTAATTTCTACAACTTTTCAGAAGCTTTCCTGGAAGAAAAGTAGTCATTTAAATTAAATGAATACATTAATGAAGTGTTTCAGGTGTTTAATGTTTATGAAGCACTTGGGGAACTCCTCTGAGAATGATTCAACTATAAGAATATAATTATTAGTGATTATTAGTAAATACAGATTAAAAAGGACAAAATTAATAAATCATTTGAAGTTTTATGATAAAGGTAAAATATGGTGTTGTACAAGAATGTTCCATTTGCATGTAATATGTGTACATGTTACATATATGTTACTTTTTCAGGAAGATACTTGGAAAATTTTATTTTTGGTCTCCTGGCTTTGGTGCTGCTTTACCAGCTTCTTACATGGCTATTCTCATCGAAAGGAAAAGCAGGTAGGTTGTGTTTATGGATTTTCACTTCTATATAGTAATATTTATTGTTTTGGTCATTTGATGAGTGACATTTGACAATTCAGTGGTTTTGTTTCAGAATGCTGGAAATATAGTTCATTTGAGGTAGTGTTTTTGCAACTTTATATTTCAATCCAGAAAGCTACAGTGAGAAAAACACTTTACAAACATTCAGTTTCCTGTTTGTGGTTTGTTTTTCTTCTTTAATGTGTAGTTGGGTTGCTCAGCATTGCCTGATGAAGCTCAATTGATAAGGGTTTCCTAATGAAACTGTTGTTTTTTGTTTGTTTTTTAAAATACAATTTGAATAATATTTGTGGTTAGTCGTAGAGAAGGAGAATGCAAGTAAAAGTTGCTGATGACTTCAGTTAACAACGTGACATTACTTAAGGTAGAGGAGTGATAGGATGTTGTGGAAAAAACTGTGGATGAGCTGAAATAATGCTGATTATTCAGTCATTGAGTAAGCATAACCCAAGGCAAGTTTTAGGTATGTCAGAGTTCTGTCCTTTTAAAAGAATGCATTAGCCATTGTTTTTGAAGACTGAGGATGTGTAAGAGGTTATTGGAAGCATGGGAGCACTTCTAAATCACTTTCTTTAATGTAACTACAGAGAAAGTAATCATAATCAAGTTACCAAATAAGTTAATTACCTTTTTAGTGTCCTCTCTAGCTGACTGATTCTCATCTCACTGTAATTACTTCCTAAGAGGTTGCATACATTTTAGTAGAACTTTGTCTAGTTACTTAGGCTCCAGCACTGCTGTTGGCATCAGTGTTTCGTTTTGTCATGTGAACAAATGCATTTTTCCCTTTGATCAGTGACAACACTGGCTTAACTTTTCCTACAGACCTATTAAAATGTGGGGCTTTTTCAAGCCAGACTTCTAATATTTCTAGATAACATTAAAAAGGAAGAAATCAGGCTGGTTGTCCATCTGTGAACTTCTTGTAGCTTTCAGAGTATTTGTGAGTTAACAGTTGGAACTGCTTAAGAGCCCAAACCTGTACAATGTTTTTGTGTAATTGTGGAACAGCTATGAGAAGCTTGCAAAGCTGAGCTTGTTAAGTCTAGCAAGAAGAGTAGGAAACCAAATTTTATATCAAATTGTTTTTTCTAAAAGTTTGAGTGGCAATGTATGAAAGCTTTGACATGTTAACAGGCTTCTATTTAGCCTCTGAAATCTGAAAGAAATAGAAGTTGAAATAGAGATATGTGAAAATGACAAAAGTAGATTGGTACAGCACGTATGGAATGAACAATGTTGGAATACTTAGTTCCTGAAGGGTTATTCTCCTTTCTGTCCAAATTCATAATGTGTGACCTAAGGTATTTTGCCTGAAACCCCACGTTATATTGCATCAGATAAAGGAAAAAAGGCAGTGTTGATATTGCAGTATAGCACATGTATGAAAATATGGGGTCATTGTTCTTAATGAAAAAAATGTTAAAAGGCATCAAAAGGTATTTGAAAATTTAGTTTTTTTTTTTTAAGTATGAAGTTGTTTTGTATGTTCTCAGATGGCTACTATGTATAATGTGCAAAATCCTGCTGCTGACAGTGAAATATGACTTTCTGATTTCACATCTGTTAGTGTGTTAGCTTCTATTACTAGAAAAATCAAATTTTAGTAGACTTATAGTCCCTTAGGAAACTACATTTCACATGGAGACACAGGGACATTTTCAGTTATCTTCTTAGTGGCTTAGAACAGATTGTAGGGAAAAATCAGAGAGGTGGGAAAAAGTCCTGTTTTGAGTTCATAAACATATCTCTAGCTCTTCAAATTGCTACTAGCAGCTGGCAGCAACATCGAACTTAATCACTTAATCTCTTCCCAAGTGGATACCCTATTTTAAGTACCACAGTGGCATTTGCTTGCACAGCATCCCTGTGAGTCCTGAACTTGGGAACAGGAGGCTTGTAAATCAGATTTTCTTTCAAGTGTTGCTGTTCATGTGTGCCAGCCTTGTACACTTTATAATTTTTATGAAAGAATGGGAAAAAGAGATGGATAGCTTTGCTAGATGCATTGTAACCCTGAGGAGGAACATGTTTTTTAATGTGTTACAGAACTAGTTTGATTGTAGTTTTTATCTGTGTAATATGTAATTGCAAATAGCATCACACTGGCAATGAGGAAGGGAGGTGACATTGCATAGAATTTCAGATGGACGCAGAACATGCTCTGCATTATGTTATGCTGTTACAGTTCTATAAAGATATAAATGGCATATTAATATGTCCATGTGTATTCTATTTGGTGACTATAAAATATAGTTATCCTGTCTATGAAAACTAGTTTATTAGGATCTGTGGAAAGGGCCAAGGAATAAAAACACATTAACTTTTTTGTATTTGTATCTGTATCTATAAACGTTATGTGAGAACTGGTCACATAATTATGATTAAGTAATATTTTGATAAAAATTATTTCTTAGATAAGAATTGGCTGTAGATATATAAACATGGAGATTATGTGTTTGCAATGTGTGGATTCATATTCTGTGCCTTTCATTCCTTACTCCAGTAGGAGGAACCCAGAATTTTTGTGTTTTTCTGGAGCTATCAAGCAGTGTGGGTTGCCTCTTAGGATCAGAAGGAAGCCAAATGCAGGATTTATAAATGTCACTCTGACACTTATTACCTGCATAGTTGGTATATGTTTGATGCTCTGAGTGAAGAGGGCACAGAGTTAAATTTCAGCTGATTTACACTACCTCATTATCTCATACAGTACATATCTTTTTAATTACTTTTAGCATTAGTCCTGCCCTCTTATTTTTCTTCTCTGTTTTTGTGGCTCTGGCAAAGATATTGAAAAATGAAGCAAAAATATAACTGGGTTGTTACGTGTGTTCTCATGCGAAGAAAATGTTCTTGTAAATAAGGGAAGTACTTCAGTTTCCTGGAGAAATAAATGCAATTCATAGAATGTATGGTTTTTAAATTTCATTTTACTAATTGTCAATGTTTTAGTTACTCCATATGTATATATTGTCATAATAATTATGTCTGTATGATAATAAGTAAGCTTCTAACAGGTGCATTTGCACAAGTATACTTTAAAGACTATAATATTCTTTACAGTTTGACCTTTTTACATCTTCTATTAAAGAAAAATGTGCAGTTGTCTTGTCATAGAATTCAGTTTTGTAGTGTTAGACATTAAAAGCTGTTAGTCTCCTCAAAAATAGAAATATGAGTCGGACAAATTAATTTCATTAAACTTCCTTAGGAAATCATTACATTCTCTTTAATAACCTTTGTATGAAGTTGTTTACCATATAATCTTTGTTAATGCCTATAGGTGTTGTTCCCAACTGTTGGTAAGAAGAAATTTTATTTGTAATTTAGAAAGAAAAGTATTTTATTTAGGTTTTTCGGCTTCTGACTGTAATTCAAATTTACAGTCTTTTGTAGTTTCTTTCAACATCTGTTAAATGTTATCATAAGAATTGAGCGTATAGCGAGGTGGAGATACATGGCTTGGACTGAGAGAGACATGGCACTACCTTGTAGTAGAAGTGCTGAGGGTGTTAGAAAGCAAGGAAGTAACTGAATATACTTGTTAAAATTGTTGTGAATGAAGCTGTTGAAATGTGATTTGAGGCTTGGCTGAAGCCAGCCTGCTACTGGAAATCTGATTAGATCAGCTGTACCTTGCTGATTTCTAAGACAAAGTGTTGTAGATCAGTGGAGAGCCTGTATGTAAGACCTCTGTGATTTCTCTCGAGGAAAAGAGTTATGTTCTCTTAAGCATTTTGTAAATGTGCTGATGTTTCAAAACCATTTATCTTGTGCTTTGCTAATAGCTAAATGGCAAATTTCATTTTATTGGACTCTTGCTCAGGAAATCATGTATTAACAAGTTTCAAGAACTACAAAGCTTTAAGAGGGGACACAGTTCCAGGTTTAATGAAACTAATTGTCTTGCTGCCTGGCTAACTTTTTGTTTTTCCCCCATGCCTTTTGTAAGTAATTAAGCCAGAGAAAGTTTAACTACAGCCACCTAAAATTTCTGTGGCAGTTCTGAAGGGACCCTTCTGGGGTTGCCCCCTGCTCCCCCTTAGGCTACATTAATATTTACATACTGGCTGTTAACATTATAGTGGCGCCTGTCTCGTTGCTACAGTTAAGACTCTGTCACTGATGGTATTATAAAACTTGAGATTTAGGGCTTTTATAATTTGGCTGTAAAATCTTGCTCTGGGCAATTATTTGCAACATGTTTTTAGTTGAAAACTTTGGGCAGTTTTCCTAAAAAAAAATAAGCATGCTGAACTCTTACAAAAATATGTAAAGCATGTGCATTTAAAAAGTGGTACAGTTCAAGAGTGCACGTTGTAGAGAACATCTATTTATATACACACATACATTTAGTGTTCTTGGAAACAAAAGTATTACTGTGTATTGCTTAGAAAAGTGACAGAAATATTTTTGTAAGAACAATGTGGAATTTTTAGACCGTATGTTCAGAGGAAAAGTTCAGTGCTGTTGGGATTATTTGCTTGCCATAAATGCCCTTAGTCTAAATACATTATAAATGAGCAATATGGCAGCATAGTAGTGATGAAAAGTATACACTGTAAAGAAATACATAATTTCTGTAAGTTTGTCCATTCAAGTACAAATTTGTTGGTATATCTTTCTCTATAGTAGTATAGTATACTTAGACTTGAGGTGACAGTTACCTTTCAGAAATGTTTTATGGTTATTCAGTTTGATGTTGTATTTTAGGGAAAGAGATAAATCACCAGTAAGGGGGCGGGGGGGCGAGTGATCAAAACAAGTAAACAAACTCTTTTAACACAGAAAGTGGGTTTGGAAGCTTTAGTCTTCCTTGCTACAGGTAAGAAATTGAGAAAGCAAGCTACACTGAGGATGATTTTTTGCCTATTTTTTGTGTTGTAGTGAAAAAAACGCTCAGGTTTGGATCAGTGACTTGAGTATTTTGTGGTGTAATCTGGTAAGGAGAG